CATTCTTACTTTACAGCATTTTTTCACACCTGCCTAAAACTTTTGCACAGTACTGTACCTTTGGGGAGAGCTGAGAATCACACTGAAACTGGTAGAGCCATCATGTAAAAAGTGATGAAGGCCCACTGAGGTGATAAAAAGCATCCTGGGAAGATAGAATGGCTGTTTGCTAACACTCATATTCATTCATAAATGGGAATTTTTGATTAGCCATCCTGGGTTTGCATTATGTCTGCCGCTTTTTTGTGTGTGTGCACACACCTTTGAATCGGGGCTGATTCCTGGCGACTGCCTGGACTAGTCCCTGTGGTTTCTTGGCAAGATTTTTGAAAGTGGTTTGCCATTGCCTGCTTCCTATGGCTAAGAGAGAGTGAATCACCCAGTTGCTTTGTACCTAAGGCGGGATTAGAACTCAAGGTCTTTTTTCTATCCTTAACCACTACACCAAACTGGCTATCATAATTTTGTTGCATGCTCCCCCCCCAAAATTTGGATATTACTATAGTAACCAAACCTAAGAATGAATAATTAAATCCATCACACATTCTCGTGTCTCTCTCTGCTCTTCTTTGTCATTTTCTTTGTGTCAAACTGTATGTGCATTGATGATGTAAAAAAAACCAACAACAACCTTGAATCAGATTCACTGTTCATTACTTTGCTTTTAATAGTTAAAATACTACAGGAGAGAAAAAGATGGGGAAGGGAGGCATTTGGTACTGTATTATAAGATGTGGTGGGATGAGGAAATAAGGAGTTGGAAGAGTTTGAATGGAAGACAACATATGCATTCTGGATCCCTAACCTTTTTGTGTTCAGCAACTGTCCTGTTTGCATTTAATTTAACAACAACAACAACACTATTTTGTGCAACTTTGCTGCTGATTTTACTATGGGCCAATTTAATTTTAAAATTAAGAAAGCTTATTTTTGTTTATGTTGGACATCTCAAAGAATATTTAATAAGCCTTGCTTACAATCTCTGTACTGACAATTTAGGACATAATTTATAAGATCTGGACCTGTCCTATTTTTGCTTTATTTGGGCTGAATTAACAGGATTTTTAACATGACTATATCAGTCAATGTGTTATAATAACAGGGTTTTCTTTTAAATGTAACCTGGATTTTTCGAATATATTACGGTATCAAGAATTGATGACTTCTTCTTAGCTGGCTAAAAAAATATATATATAACACAGCAGTGGATTGCTGATATTTGTGATTTGTCAACAGTTGATTTTTTTTAAAGTCTTAAGATTTTTTAAGCAATTTGATCTTTTAAAAATTTTATTCATGAGACTGTTTTTCCTTTCCTTTTTGTCTGTTTTTCTTTCTAAAAATGTATATCCATGCTATTGCATGGGTACAGATTTGTTATTAAATTAGAATATATGAGAAAATATGGTGTGATTGACATAATTTATCTAAAGGGCAGGGAGAATAATATTTAAAGAACTGAGGGCTACAGCTCAGGCATCCAGTCTTCTGGCTGCCACTAGAAATGCTCTGGTGTTGCCACTAGAATGGTGTGGATTGACTGACTGGCTGATTTTGCTTTTGAGTTTTTCCTTTTTTTAAAAGATGAGATTGAGATTGGGAGCCCCTAGGAATCAAACTGCTGACATTTCCCCTTTAAAATACCTCAAAAATCTGCCATATTGTGCTATCCAATCTACACTAACCAACAATTTTACGCACTTTCTTCTTTTTATGCTGCATGTTTAATATGTATTTAATATATCTTCACTGGCCAAGGGGAAAAAAGGTATATATTGTTCATCCTTCTTCACTTATTATGTATGTTTTGTTTATAGTTTTGTTTTTTGTTTTAAGTAAAGTACGTACTAAAACAAGTATAAAATGGTCTTAAAATTTGTATGTTTACTTGTTGAAACATGCACCCAAATATTAATTTTTTAATAAATTTATAGTTCAGAATAGTTCTCTTAAGATCGTTGTCTTGGATCTTCAAAAATACCCTTGTGAAGATGCATTACTATGAAATAGTTTATCTAAAATCAAGGGAAATGACTTCAATTTTCTCTCTTGCTCCTCTTGCCCCCTGTTCATGCAGGCTATATTTGAAGTAATATCTTCAGAACATTCGTATCTGCTCAGTCTAGAGATTCTGATCCGGATGTTTAAGAACTCCAGAGAACTAAGTTCTACAATGACAAAGACAGAAAGCCATCATCTTTTCTCCAATATTGCAGATGTCTGTGAAGCAAGCAAGAAGTAAGTTTTAAACAGCCTTATCGCCAGAATTAGCGACATACATTTTTGTTGTTGTTGTTTGCTTCCAGAAATTTTTAAATGCTTTAATGTTAGTATTGTCGGCAGGTATGTTGTTGCTACATTTCCTTAGGCAATTCACTCCAAGGGCAAATTTATAAAAGTGTTTGAAGTGGTGTGTATGTTTTGCAGTGTCAAATTGCAAACAAATCAAGAACTAAATAAAAGTGTGTGTGCAGCTTTTAGGTACTTTACATCTGCTATTAAGACCTATCAAAATCAGTAGAGCTTAACCAAGTATGCCTGCTGGACAGAAGTTTAGAGCTGGGAACGATTTTTTAACGATTAATTTTTTTTAAATTTTTTAAAAATTTTCCTGCTTGAAATCATTATGTTGCCTATCTTTGCTACAAGAGATACTATAACTTTCATGGAATATGCTGCATATTTGTTAACAGATCCATTAAAATGGATTTATATATGTTTTGTTTTAATCTGTTGGCAGACAATGTAGTGCATAGTACAAATACTGTCAAAAGCTTTGACAGATTTCTTTAATTAAGGCATTTCTGGTTTAGAATCATATCTTTTCTGGTCTTAAACCAAACAGCTTTTGCCAAACACTTAAGAGACTTGTGGGAACAATATGCATAAAATATTAACTCATAATTACTGGATGCTATTGTATGATTGTGAATTTGATAAAATCTATTGATTTTATTGTTGCAGGTTATTTTGATGGTTCTTTAATTTGTGACCTAAATTATATGTGTACATTCCCATGGATTTCTAGTCATGTTTGGACTTGTCTACATAATTAGCCCTTTCTTTGTGAACAATGATGGTAGATAGTCTGTTTAAGCTGAAAATCTAAATGTCCTTATTAGATAATAAGTGCCATTGAATGCAGTTATATTCACTTCTGAGTAACTATGCATAGAATTGCATTTAAGTATATTCAATAGCTTTTATTTCTAGGGGCAATTTTTTCTCTTTCAGAAAAAATTGAATGTACTGATGCTCAGGTATTTTCATGGGTTATAGGATTACAAGGGAGGAAGAGACAGTCAGCAAAAATTGACTTGTATTACCTGCAGGAATATCCTATGAGTAGAGTTCCATTTACATGTTTAATTTCATAACCTTCCAAATATTCTGGGAGTACATTTCCCAGAATTCTAGCTATCATGACCAGGACTTGAGGCCATCCCTAGTAAGGATTTTACTCTTCCTTTCTCCCTTTGGCCCCCTCCACCTGCATCCCAATTGTAATTCAACACATAGTTCCAGCATTTCTATTTGGTTGGTGTTGTTTTCTGTTGGATGACATTTTGATATTTCTTTGAGTGCTAGCAGTGGTGTAAGGACATTCAGGCTGCCTTTGAAAACAATGGTTTAGCCCCAAGGTTGGTTAGTTCAGAATCTTATTTCCAGCAGGTAATCCTCCTGAACAGTTTGTAATAGTTGGAGGGCTGTAAGTTGCTTAGTGTTGCTTAAAATTGCCAACAAAATTTATCTGTTAAAACATACTTTATTAAAGCAGTCGTAGTGACCTGTTTCTCACATTGCCAAACTATGGTTTACAAACAACTGTGCCACAATAAGCCTAAATGAAGCAAGCAAGTTTGGTCTAGTGGTTAAGGCACCAGGCTAGAAACGAGGAGACTGTGAGCTTTAATCCTGCCTTTGGCAAAAAAAGCCGGCTGGGTGAGTTTGAGCCAGTCACTCTCTATCAGCCCAACTTATCACATAAGGTTGTTGTTGTTGGGAGAATAGGAGGAAGAAGGAGTATTAGGTATGTTCACCGCCTTGACTTATTTATAAAAATAAGAAAGCCAGAATAAAAAATCTAGAAAAAAAAGGCCATTATATCGTAATATGTATGAATTCAGCCATATACTGATATGGCAAAGGCTATTATTAAAATAAGATTTATATTTCAGTTATAAAACCTGTATTAGCCCGTGTTATCAGTCTGTAACACAAAGTACAATGTTAACACTTGCAGTATGTACATCATTGTTTATCTATCAAGATTGAAACTGAAACTCAGTCCAGGGCTACAAAGATGTTTGTGTCTGCCTGACTAGAGTGACTGGTATATTCCACATCACATAAGCCAAGCTATGGGTTATTAAACAAACAATGGCTTAACACAATATGTGAACCAGAGATACAGTATACGTATGAGACAAATATTTTTCTCACTTTTCTTTCTCAGAAGACTAGAATTCATAATCCCCTGAAATAGAGTCAAAGTTATGATTTATCTGTTATTGCTAGATTAGCTGTACTATGCCAGAGCCAAGGTAAGGAAATCAAAACTTAAGAAAGAAATCCTCTTACATAAGAAAATTATCATAGAGCAACAGTTTAACCTTGGGGATTGACTAATCCAAGAACTCTGAATCATTTGTGCTATTATTTGCTTTCTCTTGGATGAAAACTCTTGCAGGATTATATTTCATTTCACATCTTCACCACATAGAATAGTTGCATCATTGTGTTTTATCAACCTGGTTTTATATTAAACTAGCATCTAAATACAGAAAGAGGTAACTTTCTTTTTTGCTGTAATGGACATGCTGAAGCCCTTAAAATCCATAAAACTACTTACTAAACAAATCAATAGGTGTTGCAGCAAGCACACAGAAGCTTTTTCATATATCTGGCAGGGGATATTGCAGTTTATTTCTATATAAGATATGTCACATGGGGATATCCCAGGGATATAATCACCAAACTTCCACTGAATGGGGATAATGCACTGTGGTATCCATGGACATCTTTCCCTGCATCCAGGAAGAACCTTGCTCACTCATGTATTTATAGCTAGTTCAAAATGTACCGAGCAGCATGACAAACCAAAAGCCAGATTGTTTCTTGCAGAGAGCTATACAGGTAATCCCCAGTTGAAGAATGAGTTCCATTCCTAAGGTCTGTCTTTAGGTCAAATTTGTATGTAAGCCAGAACATATTAATGTATAATACTGTATAAGTAGTATTGAGTAATGAACTCAAATCATTGTGTATTTAACTCAAATTTAAGGCTCTGTTCTTAACCATGGGTCATTTGTAATCTGGGAGTTCTTAACCCTGGGACTACCTGTAGAGCTCTGCTTGAAGACCTCCCCTTACTATGCTATGCATTTTTATTCCTGTGTCTTCAGATTAAGGAGGAGTGTAAATGTACATGTTATACAAACATGCAGCTGTGCTATTAATGCATAGAGTGCCTTTCTTGCTTACATGAAGCAGCTCTTAACCAGAACTAGATTTATTAAGTTAATGTATTGCTATCCCTCTAGTTTCAGCCTAATCAAGGCAGAGGGGTAGTCCTTCCTGATTAGGAAACATTTTCATCCTCTTTCACAGTAACTTGAGGGAGAAAAAAACCATCAAGTTGTTGGGATGGTCTGATATATTTGGACCCCTTTGGTCCATTCCTACTTCTTACATCAGTGGAAATGCACCTGCTTAGTAATTGATGAGTCTTACCTTTAATATGTCCAAAAATTGTATTATCTTGCATGAGATGCTATTAGTATGGCCATAAAACCTCTTGGAAAATTCACTGGGTGAGTAGATTAGGTTTTAGCTCTGTTTACTGCATGTTAAAGGCTGAAATCATAACCTTGTCTTTATTACTAATTATACATTCATCTCTATAAGTATGTTTCTGTATTGATCAAAATAAGTTTACTTCTGAATTAGAATGAAGCATACTTAATCCAAAGCAACAGTTTCTTCTCATATTTTATCAATCTCTATATGCTCTCTGGCCCATCCTAGAAATAAAAATAAAACTTTTGAAAGAACCTGTTGACAACTTTACTTGTTAATATCATAGCATAATATAGGAGTTAGATGTAATCAAATGTGAATATCTTCAAGAATAGGCATGTCTGGCTTTATATAATAACCAAGGTGAAAAATTAATATTTTGGTTATTAAGGGCTAATCAAACTTTCACTTGGTTAGTAAATTAATCATGTTAATTGCTAGTTGTGTCTTTATGAGGAAAGAAAATTCAAAGTTAGATAAAAATTCAGAATCTGCCTTATACTAGCTCTACACTCAATTTCTGATTAGTATATGCTTTCTGGTGTCTAGTATCTCTCTAGTTTATTAGGCAAAGGTATTTCACATCTCTTTCCCATTTAATTGTCTTTAAAACAAACAGGAGATAATTGGAATATTTTGCATATAGATCATGAGACCTGTCCTTGAGCTTCTGTGCTTCCTCTGAGTTCAAATTTTTCCATTTTCTAAATATCTAAAAAAGAGTTGGCCCCCCCCCCCCCCGATTTGGTTCTGTAAGTAGTATTTGTTGATCTCAAGCTGATTTAGAAGCTGTAGTTTTAAATCTGCAAGTGACATCCTTGAGCCCATACATTTGTGAAAAACACTTTATGGTGAATATTGTTCATGGTACAAATACTGATGTTGCAAAGCTGAGCCCAGATAGCCAGGCTACACTTACAAAAGTGATAGTTAAGATTTCAGTTTCAGGTAAAGACCTACCAAGTAGTCATACCTTGGTAGATACGTTGCTGCTGGACCTACTTCTCAAAGTATTTACCTTCATGTACTGATCCTCCTTCCAAGCTTTCTGCTGATGGGAGAAAAAATGTAGTTAACAAAAAGGAAGACTGCACATTTTTTTTATAAAATAAAATTATTATTTATAAAAATTTTATAAAATAAAATAATAATAAAAGACTATATCTAGCCTATAGTCTAGATATAGACTATATCTATATCTAGTTAAATCACATTGACGGATTCCGTGTAATGTTTAATTCCTACATGGAGCTGCTTTCCTTTCTGAAATTTTAGTAGGTAAAACAGCCTCGCAAATAGACAATTCTGCATTGACGTATCTTCTAAGCAAATTGTTTAGGCATGGAAATGATGCATTCTTGGTTGCTCACTCCTCTTTGCTGGATAATTTCAAACTGGCAATGTCCCACCATGCTTTAAAACATTCATTATTCCTACATTATAATATTTAGAATAATATATTCCATCTCTTCTCCTAATCCACCAATCTGCATCAAAGACTGCCTTGGGCTGGGAAGTTTTATTAAATCAATACTTCTATTTTAGTATTACATTTTGAAGTTAAAATGTATTAGGAAAAAATGCAGAGAATCACTTTGGGGAGAAAATGTGAAATTGCTGAAAGCTTCAGATAACTTCTTCCCTGGTACTTGGACCTGGTTCAGATTACTAATTCTTTCCCTGATACGTCTTTTAGGAGAATAGTAGTCATTGTTGTCGTCATAATAATAATAAATTATGACTCCCAGTGATTGTGGGTGGTTTACAAATTGTGAACAACATTTAAACCAAGAAAAGAACACAAAACAAAACCAAAAAGCAAAGATGGCAGTGATAACAAACCCAGATGGGAACAAAGGGAAACAAGAAAAGGGGGCTTCAGTCACGCTTGCCAAAGGCCTGGGTAAAGAGCCAGGTCTTCAGAGCCCTTTGAAACACCAGTACAGTAGGAGCAGTTAGAACTTGGGGGAACCTCATTCCAAAGGGCAGGTGCTGCAACAGAGGTGTGCTTCTGGTTCCTGATGGATGGCATTGTTTAATCCTTGAATCAAAGGAGCACACCAACTCTGCCAGATTGGATTGGCCAGGCAGATACCAAGGGAGGCAGGCAGTCCCTCAAGTAACCAGGCTCTGTGCCATGTGGTGCTTTATATGTAGAGGACTTCACGTGGCAGCAAAAAGGTTGTTATGGAAACCCCCTCTGCTACTGCCTGGGCACCCTCTCCCCACTGCAAATCATTTTTGCCTTCAAATCTGGAATACTGCACAGCTATAATGTATATGTACCTCTGTGTGTGTGTGTGTGTGTGTGTATGCACACCTGTACATGCATACAGTTTGTCTTGCTAGTCAGAGAAAATAATCACCATCCATCTGGCATTCTAAAAAATAAAACATTTAGGAGCAGCTACTCTGTGTAACATTTCTGGTCTCCTGAAATATCTAAACTCCTACTTCAACCTTGAATGTTTTAAATGAGGAATAAAAGGACTTAATTTAATTCAAGCATTCATTTTTCTGAAACAAATGTGTTCCCATTCATTTTCTTCCAGTTGTTTGTTGAGTAGCCTGTGAAATAGGTTCATTTATCTTCTGAATGCAGTCTTCGCTGTAGTCAGTTGATTGTTCACCTTCCATCCAGAGAGACAAATCTCAAACTATTTTTTCCTGCCAGTAAAAGTCTTAATGATTTTCAGACAAAGAGTCAGGTCAAGATTCTTATGGGCAATTTCAAAAAGTATTCAAGGACATGCTGTCTAGCGACTTGCAGTTGTTTGGGTGCAAAGACAATTAAGGACCTTTTCGCTTTTAGAAAACAAATTGTGATTAAATGTGTTTTGCAAACTTGTTCTGTTTATTTCAGGTTCTTCACAGAGCTTGAAGAAAGGCATCAGAGTAACATTTTCATAGATGATATCAGTGATATTGTAGAAAAGCATACTACATCAACTTTTGACCCTTATATAAAATATTGCACAAATGAAGTCTATCAACAGCGGACACTTCAGAAACTGTTGTAAGTAATGGGAACTATTGTTACTGGAATTGTTTGGAGAAAAATGATGTTATGAATTATGTATAATTTGGTTTTTGAAAAATAAATATTTGAGCCATACTACAGAAGGAGGCAATAAAATTAGATTTTAATTTTGCTCAAGTGATGCACCCTGAGCTAATTTATTTCAACATATTTCTAAATTGTTGTTTATCCAGAGGTGTCATGGGTGATGAAGTATGAATATAATTGTGGGTAAAACCAAAAATAGTCACAGTCACAATTGTTTTTAAAATGGTTTGGTTAATTTTCTGAAAAAAATCTTACTGAAAAGTTTGTCATATTAGCACCAGACCTATTTCTTCTGGAAAAAAAAAATTAGAGAAGGAATAGTAGTTTATGAGGTAAGTATGAGTTATCTGTATATTTAAAATATTCTTAAAATATATGCAACCCCTTCACTAGCCCCCACCTACCCTCTTACCACAACTGCAATGAAGAGAATTCATAATGTGCTATCTAACAGTTATAATTGTGTAGATGGATCAATGGAATGAACTAGAGAAAGTATACAGGTAGTCCTCACTTAACGACTGTTCGTTGAAAGACAGTTCAAAATCATGATGGCTTCAGAAGTTCTTTACGACTTGTACTCGCATTTACAACCATCATAAACTGTCGCACCAACTCCCACGGTCACATGATCACGATTTGCGTCCTTTTTCCAATGATCATAAAGCGAATCACATGGTCGTTAAGCAAATAATGTGGCTGTTAAGCAAATTCTGGCAAAAAACATCCATTGAGGAAGCTGGATTTGCTTAACGACCATGTGATTCACTTAATGACTATGTGATTTGCTTAACAACCATGGTGTTTCACTTTACGGCTATCATAGAAATGGTTGTAAAATCGGGTCCAGTCATGTGGTCACTTGCTGAAGGACTGCCCCACTTAATGACTAATTTTCCGGTTCCTATTGTGATCATTAAGTGAGGACTACCTGTAGCTGTGGCTACACAATAATTGTGTTTTTATAATATATCTTGGCTTAGCAAGACATGTGAAAGAGCCTTGTGATGACTAATCTTCAGCTTCCTTTTAATTGAAAAACTGTGAGCAGCAGTTTCATAACCAGCCAGGATATTACTATATCTTAATAGAAGATTTGTGGGATGGTGGACAAAACCCTAATATATATGAGTTCTGATTATTTGTGTTAACTTCTATGTTTCCAAGAAAGCATCTGGCAAGCCAATCAAAATTTTCGAACAAAAACTACCTTTATATTTAAGGCTGTCTATAAAATTGTTGTTATTTTGGGCAGAGCTACCAATCCATCCTTCAAGGAAGTATTATCACGGATTGAATCTCAAGAAGAATGTAGGAATTTACCAATGATATCCTTCCTGATTCTGCCAATGCAAAGGGTTACACGACTTCCACTGCTAATGGATGTAAGAGCAGCCTATTTTTAATTTTCTGTTCTATTTATGATTGAGTTTAAATATGCAATTCCATTGTCATAATTTATAATTACATAGTCAACACTTAGTTGCTTTCCCAGCATATAAACTGCTGAATTTTCATAATTTCAGTAATCTAGAACGTTTTGGCCCAGAGAAACCTGGGAAACATTTTGCTGGGGCAAGTAAACATTTAATTTTCATTGGCTTCTGTGGGATTATAAAGTTCTAAATAAAAATAAGATTTCATCCTTTTTTCTTGTCCTTTCCTGCTGGTTGACTTGACTTTAGTTGAACTATTCAATGCCATTTTCTTTTCAGAAGAGTATATTTTACACATTGAGTACTGCAACAATTCTTATAAAAGTTTTAGAGAAATTCTAGGTTTAACAATGTGGAAAAAGACTCTGAAGGCTTCTTGACCTGCAAAAACTTCCTGAGAGGAAGTTCATAATCTCTTGGGATTTAATGGAAGGAATGGGAAAGCTGAAGACCACATGGAGATGCTTGTACAGTGAGAGAAAAGAAACTCAGAAACTCCTTTCATTCAACATGTAGCTTGAGTGAAGTACAAGAAGACACACTCCACCTGTGAAGATTTCACTGACATTTTTATCTATTAAAAGAATGAAATGCAGTTTCTCTTCCAACAAATTAAAAGAGAATAATAAAGAAGTAAACCACAGAAGAAATGTTTGGTACATATGTAGTAATTCCTTCCCTTACAGTAACTAGCATTAGATTGGAATGGGAAAAATGTGAATTTACATCTAATGGTAATGATTTGAGAATCTTGTATGAAAGTTATAATTTTAGAAGTCTAGTAATAGGATGTAATTTTAAGTATCTTTACTGAGGGAACGCCTTGCAAGTAAAAATTTAAATCAAGATCTCAACTGTGAAAACTATAGTTTTGATGGGAGGTCTCAAGCACAAAAAACTGATTAAAACGATAGATTAGATTAGATTAGATTAGATTAGATTAGATTAGAGGCATTCTTCAGAACATATGCTCATTGTTTCAGGTTATTTAAAAGTGGTATCAAAAAAGCTGAAAGAAAGTAAAAACTGAGAGTGAAATATCAAGCATCTTGAAAGCTCATTGAGTAAAAAGTTGGTTGATCAAGTCTTGATCTTGCACCTGATCCTTTGCTGGGGAAAGGGCAAAGGTAGTATCAGAAGAGAAAGAAATATAAAAGAGATAGTGTATGGGCTAGAAAGAGGATAGTGTTGGCACTATCCAAACCATCATCAATACATAGCCCCTTTCAAATTCCCACCCAAAACAATGCAGTTCTACATAGGGACAAAAAAGTCCTATATCTTTGCTTTACATGGTTGAAGTGTTTTATAGTCTTTGTTTGATTTATGTTCAAACCTTGTACAGGTAAGTTCTTACAGTTAAGAACTACAATTAATTTTCAATTAATTAAAAAGTCTATTAATAAAAAGCTACATTCATAAATAAAACACAAGACAGAATTTCAGTTGTGAGAATCTGAGTTGGTCAGGGCCACCCAATGAGTTTTGCAAGCAAGAGTCTTGAATCTTCTGCCACCATAGCTTGGTATACTGAATTATGTATTAGTATATAATTGCTGTATTTTGGCCTGCAATTCAGCAATAATAGTTCTTTTATTACATTCGTTCTCTAAAAACAACATATTACCAGGAACAGTTTTATAGTGTTTTGGCTTCTCTCACAAAAAAAGCACTACATCCCCTTGTCATTAGAAATATATCAGTGTGGGATGTTTGCTTTGGTGCTCCTTTGTTTTCATAGCTTGCTTATAAAAGCAACTCAATAAAATGTTGATTTAATGGTCAGACCTTTTTACTTTTATTATGTTCCTTAAAAAGAGAAAATGTTGATTTGCATCTTGTGCTGGATCTAACTATCTAAATGTTCTCAAAAGTATGCAGAACTTTATGAATTACCTTATTAGAATTGGGGAGGTGGGAGGGAGAAACATTTCTACTTGAAAGTAGAAAAAATAAATGTGGAATGGAAGATCGGATTACCAATGCATCACACTAAATATTAAAGCTAAAATTTAGGTATTTTCTGGAGAAAATAATATTTCAGAGCAAGATGTCTTGGTGGTCTAGAAAATAGTGTGTTTTGATTCTCTAGAATGTAAATGTTTGCAGAAAATTCGTGATACAGGTTTGCACATTTAAGTGCTATACACATTCTTCTGTCAACTAATCAAAGAAAAACATACATCTCTAAATTGGCAAACTCTTTATTTCAGACAATTTGCCAGAAAACGCAGAAAGATTTGCCAAAATACGAAGTTTGCAAAAGGGCTTTAAAAGAAGTAAGCAAGGTATGTTTTTAGGTTCTCTCTATGGAATAGAATGTGTTAGTTGCTGAAATCTTTTTGTGCATGTTTAAGAGACAGAATTCCACATACATTTTCTCAAAAACTTCTCTATCAGAATTGCATTGGGCAAGTGTCTTTTTTTTTTTTTTTTTTGGTAACGTTTGATTCAGAAAAATTATTCATCATTGTCTATAGGAAAATGTTGATAGCAAGAAGAATGAAGAACTTGGCTTCCCAGACTGTTAACTGGCCTACACGCTTTGCAAAATGAATTAATGTTGTTTGGTTACAACCAGCTTTATTTCCAGAAGTTCAAAGTGGTATAGGTGGTTCCCATCCTAGTGTTTTATTATCTTATGTGGATTAAATTGGGCTGAGACATAATGACCAATACAGAGTTATCAAGTGACCTTCATTACTGAATGGCATTTAAACCTGGATCTCCCTTGTCCTTGTTCAACATGCTACTTATCGTACTGCATTGATTCTTACTATCAAAGACGTTGATTCTACTTACATAGTTGCATAGTAGGTTCTGCTCACTTACAATAGCATCAAATGCATTGTCTCTGTTGCAGCTGCTTTGTCCATTACAGCAGTTTTAAACATTTTTATTTTCTGTAGTCTGAATTTAATTTCCTCTATGGGGTAAGCTAAAATATATGCAGCTGAATTATTGCTTGGTGTCTGAATTTGGCTCAGTAGCCTATGAAACATCCAGGATTGATCAGCTCTAAACTCCTGAGGAATATACCATTTTCTATCATTTATTTAGCACTCATATTTATGTTTGTCAAACCTTTATACGTTTATGTTGGCTGGTGCGTATCATCAGAGAAATCTGATGCTGATATAATTTGTGTC